ATTAAATATTATATTTGATTTGTGTTTGATTCTTTTGTATGTAAACAGACAGACGGATAAACAGACATAGAAAATACACACACACACACACACACACACACACACACACACACACACACACACACACACACACACACACACACACACACACACACACACACATATATATATATAAAATACAACCCGTGGACCCAAAACACACACACACACACACACACATATAAAAATACAACCCGTGGACCCAAAACACACACACACACACACACACACACACACACACACACACACACATATATATATATAAAATACAACCCGTGGACCCAAAACACACACACACACACACACACATATAAAATACAACCCCGTGGACCCAAAACACACACACACACATATAAAATACAACCCGTGGACCCAAAACACACACACACACACACACACACACACACACACACACACACACACACACATATATATATATAAATACATGGACCAAAACACACACACACACACACACACATATAAATACAACCCGTGGACCCAAAAACACACACACATATAAAAATACAACCCGTGGACCCAAAACACACACACACACACACACACACACACACACACACACACACACACACACATATATATATAAAATACAACCCGTGGACCCAAAAACACACACACACACACACACACATATAAAATACAACCCGTGGACCCAACACACACACACACACATATAAATACAACCCGTGGACCCAAAACACACACACACACACACACACACACACACACACACACACACACACACACACACACACACATATATAAATACAACCCGTGGACCCAAAAACACACACACACACACATATAAAATACAATAAAATCGGACCCAAAACACACACACACACACACACACACACACACACACACACACACACACACACACACACACACACACACACACTATTGTTTTATAATTAAGAAAACATTAAATGTGTTGACCAAAGAAATAAACAGATTTGCGTGAGGCCAACATGTGTAAGGTCTATTATTATTATTATTATTATTATTATTATTATTATTATTATTATTATTATTTTTGTAACAGTTCACATTTTTGGGGCCAAATTAACTTGTAGTGATTCGGTAAAAAAATTAAATTGTAATAATAATATTTTTTCTTCCTCCACAATTACGGTCACCTGAGGTCTTTTAGTTTGATAATTGAATATTAATTAAAAATATTCATACCTACACAATGTATGACGTGATGTATGTCTGTCAATGTATACTTTTATAGAGTGATATTGAACCTCGTCAAGGTTTGAGGGAAGGACACCGGCCTCTACTACAAATAGCCAGCTAGTAGGCCAGCCAGCCAGCCAGCTGGTCGACCAGCCAGCCAGCCAGCCAGCTAGTCGACTGCCTGCCAGCCAGTCAGCCAGCCAGCCAGTAGTCGACCTGCCTGCCTGCCAGCCAGCCAGCCAGCTAGTCGACCTGCCTGCCAGCCAGTCAGCCAGCCAGCAGCCAGCCAGCTAGTCGACCTGCCTGCCTGCCAGCCAGTCAGCCAGCCAGCCAGCCAGCTAGTCGACCTGCCTGCCTGCCAGCCTGCAAAATCTATACTGAAATCATTATTAATTCACGGTCAGCATTTTAGAAGAGAAAAGCTGAACTAAGCTTAAATAGAAGCTTCAACCTGTGAGAGAGAGAGGGAGAAGAGAGATACTCTTACTTGATCCTCTCTCTCTCTCTCCGCGATGCAAGACAGCAAATCCAGATAACAGCGTTCGTTAAGGGAATCCGCTGGGTGCACACACACACACACACACACACACACACACACACACACACACACACACACACACACACACACACACACACACACACACACACACACACACACAGGCCGAGGAACGAGGGAATATTTTCTGATCACGGAGGCAGACTTAGCTGTCGGATTGTGTTAGTAGGATAGTGTGTCGATTGTGTGTGTGTGGTGTGTGTGTGTGTGTCTTTTAAACTATATTAATTCTCTCTCTCTATTACCTTTTAACTTTTCTCATCCCAGTTTGAAAAATTATCTCCAAATTACATCAATTAATATATATATTATTAAATTAAACTAAAATACAATACTTGTTTGTTTTTGTCAGTCATTTTGGAACGGGAAATATTATAATTTATATTTCTTCTATACATACATACATACATACATACATACATACATACATACATACATACATACATACATACATACATACATACATACATACATACATACATACATACATACATACACACACATTCATACATATAGACAAAACAAAATAAATACACTCATTCAATAAACACACACACACACACACACACACACACACACACACACACACACACACAACACACACACACACACACACACACACACACACACACACACACAAAACCCAGCCATTTAATGTATCTAATATAATTAATCTGTCAAATAAACAAACAACGTTCAATCCAATATGTCTGAATGCAACTAATTGAGGAGCGGGATTTATTAACACTATTTTTTGGTGCGGGGAATAATAAGTTACTTGGTAAATACTGTTGTTTGTTGACAGAGAGAGAGAGAGAGAGAGAGAGTTAACACGTAGACTAACTCTTTTAATTCAATATAACAAAAGACTTAATCATCACCTCAAGATAAACAATTATACAACAACTGTCCTGTATGCAAATGACCCCCTTGGCCCCCAACAAGTGCTAGGAATGTTATTGTTCAGTAATTGCTATGTGTTAATCCCTTCCAATTAGTCTGTTAGGGTAGCTTAACTCGAGTACAATGCACTATCCCGTGGGGGTGATAAGGGTTTGTACTCAAGGGGTTTAATAATCGTACTCAAGTCGTATTCTCACTGGGTTATGTCATCGTACTCAAGGGGTTAAATCATCGTACTTGAGTTGAATCATCATAATCAAGGGTTAAATCATAGTAATCAAGGGGTTAAATAATCGTACTCAAGGGGTTATGTCGTCGTACTCAAGGGGTTAAACTTCAATGTTAATTTCATCTCCTAACTGGTGTGCTAAGTGAACGTATCTAGTTAAGGTAGAGTCTCAGTGTTAATTTCATCTCCTAACTGGTGCTAAGTGAACGTATCTAGTTAAGGTAGAGTCTCAGTGCAATTCTGGTGCCATTTTTAAACATTATTCTTAAATTTATCGTAAGTTAACCAGCCAAGAGCCTAAGAAACAATTAACTTACTAACTTATGAGAAATGGGAACCTGAATAACGAGAAAAAACTAAAAAAAAAAAACACGTCATCAATAAACACCTGAGACGCACTAATTAAACCTTTGGGCCAGACATACACAGGTAAGTTACTTGAGTCTCGGGTTTAATTAAAGAGACATAGGTTTAATCTTAAAACTGAATACCTTAAATCTCAGTAGATTGTAAGACATTCTCAGACATGCAAGCCTGAGGTAAGGAGAAGGAACAAAGGTGATTATTAATTAATTTTTACCTGTAAGCATAATTAATAAGCATATAGGTAAGGTTAGGTTTGGTTAGGTTAGGTTTGGTTAGGTTAGGTTTTACACTATTAAATATATAAACACCTGTAATATATATGTAGGTAGTCACATGTATAAATATATATCTATAAACATAGGTCTATTGATTTATATACATATACATATAATTACATATCTAGGCATGCATGTATGGTCGAAAATGGTATTATAATTAATACGATTTTCGATCAGTTTTGTCAATACTACTTGATATTCTATGACAATTAGTGCGTTAGCGTGTGTGTGTGTGTGTGTGTGTGTGTGTGTGTGTGTGAGTGTGTGAGTGAGTGAGTGAGTGAGTGAGTGTGAGTGAGTGAGTGTGTGTGTTCAGAGCATGTGCGTACGTGTACATGTAACCTAGTGTATACGTACATGTTTATATACTATCATGTGTACATGGATTTAGTCAGTCATGAGAATATGTACTATACCTTTTATAATCAGCTGTACCTGTATATATACATAACCTTGTGTATATCGTCTATGTATACCTAGTGTACGCCTTATACATATACAGGAAGCCATAGCTACTGTAGACTAGAAGCTTGAGGGAGGGGGGTGGGGGGGGGGGACATACAGGCATGGGGGGGGGGACAGGGAAGAGGGGGTGACAGCTACAAGGGAAACAGAACTTACCTGTATGACGTCACACTAACTTAATCACCTTCTTGTTGTTTCCACCTTCCCACTCTCGCTATAAGTCTCCCTTACCCTTACCCTTATCCCTTACCCTTATCCCTTAACCCTTACCCTTATCCCTCACTTCTCTGAGCCAATATTCTCTCTCTCTTTATCTCTCTGTGAATCCTAATCTGGTGCTAATCTTTTATGTGATTGGATAGTTACATAGGCTACAGGTGGATCACTGTGATTGCGTTAATGTGCAGGTGTGTTGCAAATTACCTTTGTGATTTAGGTTTCTTTGTAACGTGATATCTGGTAACTGCTCTCAGGGGTGTGGGGGAGGGAGGGGTCATATAAATATTTACTTTACACAACTCAACGATGAATTTGTTGATTAAATTACGCCAGGATAACAAATGTGACGTATAATACTCTAATACCTGGAATTAGTTGAGTAATTAGAGGTTAAAGAGGGTAATTAATTCTCGTAACTTTATCTTCATCATCCTTCAGATAGATACCAGATACCACCAACAAAATAAACCACACAGGATTATTTTCTCCACTACCGTACATGTGCTAAAACAAAAACAAAACAAAAAAGGTTTAATTGTGTCCAAAACAGCTTGAAATAAAACAAAACCAAAGCATACTTGACACCAGTAACAACAATTTCTACACATAATTAAGCGGATTCTAACATCAAGCAACGATTCCCAAAACAATAAATGAAATGAAAATATAAACCACACCCGTCTCTAATGTTGTTATGTTACCCTAATATACTCTGGGTCTGGCCCCACGTAACACCGATTCTTAC